TAATTGTTAAAGGTTGTTATTGATTGTACGAGCTTCGATAGCTCATTGTGTACAAGAAACATTGTGGTCTATTTACGACCAATTAATCAGAATGGAAACATTAACAAAACAATGTGATCACTTATCTTGGAAATGTATTTTAATTCTGAAACTTGTGAACTTGACATATTACTCAAGATTCTACTAAACACTTTTGCATATGTGTGTATATCACCAGAAGGTGAATCAACCGAAACATAGATAGTCATGCAATAATCGGTGATAAAGAAAAAACAAGAAACCAAAAGAAAAAAAAAAAAAAAAAAAAAAGGAAAATAACTTGCGATAAAACGTAATCTGTTGGGTAGTAAGCTAAGTGAAATTTCTACAGAGAAGATATAGAATAAGATTTTTCTAGAAACCATAAGAAGCAATAACAAACTGATTCGATATGAAACATTGTTTGACACTATATAGCCTGCTGAACGGAAAACAATAAGGAAGGAGGGAAACAAAGGAAAGAAATGAAGAAACTCCTCAACGAAAGAAAGAAGCACACGATCTCAAGCAGTAGAAAAGAAACGCCAACATTACCTTTTACCCAACAATTTACAAAACATTTTGCGAGGACAGTAGTTTGATTAACGATTGGATGATAAATGGGATTTGTATCTTTGTATGTCGTTGAATTTGCAATAGAATAGTAACGAAGGAAAAAGTCTGATGGGATTCGATGCCTAAATATGCTCTTTTGAATCATGATAATATTCTATAGAAAGTATTCTTTTCCAAGTGAAAATACCTTATTCGTAGCTTTATATGTATATATATATATGTATATGCGTTTCATGTTTTACCTTTTAACAACAGACGAATCGCAAAATATTCCTTCAAATTAGTAAATTTAATCCTACTCTGAATGTTATAACTTAAGTTTTAGATGTTTGTACAAATTATAATTAACACACCTTGCAGACTGTGTCGGTGTATTTGCTGCTGATCCTTTCTTTCCTTCCAAGCTGGCAAGATGTTGCTCTAACGCATCCAGTAAGCTGCTAGGGGCCTAAGAAATGTCCATTTTCAATATTTCACCTGGATACATTTTTCTATAGAACTCAAGACTATGCCGTATTACGTTTTCAATCCAATCAACATATATTTCTCACCTTCGTTAGATCAGGTATGTCTCCTTTATCAATGCCAACATTCTAAAAGGAAACGATAGGAATTAATCTAAGAGAATCTGCTAAAAACTTACATACATTTGTACATGTGGAAATCCTGACTCGACTTACTTCGGCAACTTTCAAGAATTCACCCACCCGATCCATTCGTATGAGAAACTTTTTGTACAGGTCCAGAGCCTCGCGACACTGCTTCTTATTCATATCAAAATATTTCTCTAAAACAAAAGGGAGAAGTAATGAAACATATTTCTTTTAGAATGGCAAAGAGATACTAAGTGATGGACAGGCTACCTAGCAAATTAATAATGCCGTCGTTGTAACAGGCGAACAGTCTAATCAAATCTCGAAAGAGCAGCATGAAAGCCATGTTTATGACGCCGTTGGTCAGGTCGTTGGCGGTGCAATCAAACTCCAACAGCGCGTCCAACTGCGACTGTAGAACTGGCAATGTTTTCAGCAGTTTCTCCGCGTTCATTGTTCGCAGTGTACGGTCATCCTTCCTGAATGACACAATCCAAAGATTAGAACAAGAGAAGATACATTCCCTCCTTAATTTGACCGGTTAATCAATGTTAATCGCTTACCCCCTTTTCACCTTGCAAAAGTCAAACGCCACGGTCCTGTAGGAGAGTGCCTTCTCGTTCAGATACTTTGCATATCTCCTGATGAATGGTGACATGTCGTAGCCTAGTGACAAAGAAGAATCAATGTGTAAGAGAAAGCTTGCAAGAATCTGAGGAAACTTCACAGGGTTCATGGTTCATGGGACAAATAAATATTCAGTTTTCTCTCCCTCCCCTCCAGAAGAGACAAGATGAATTGATAATTGAAACTGTGCAAGTGCAAAGATTCGCGTGCGTGCAAGTGCAAGCAGGCAGAGGCAGCATTGTTAGGATTATCGATTTTAATCACGCCTGCTTACAGCCTGAAAAATGTGAGAAAGTGTGCGCGGCACGCAAATTCATCTTGACCTCCTGAACACGACATCTGAACATTACATGTTCCAGGGGAGGCGAGCGACGGTGGCAATATAATTAGTACCAGAAATTATAAGTAGAACGTTGATTTCCCTGTGGAATTCATCGCGCGATACTTTCATCAATTCAACAATTGCCATCGTGACTTTCAAATAATAACAACAACATAGGATACACAATTTTCAATTTTGATCTTTCGTTTCTGTTCAACAATCCCTTTCTTATCCGACTGGCTATCCAAAGCTAAGTTAAATAAAAGAACGTGAAATTAACGTTGGAGATTAGTAGGGAGAGAACATTCACAGAACGAAGAGAAAATTAATTAGATGTTAACTCACCAATGCGTGCTCCTGCTGTGGCCAAATAGAGAGAAAATTAATTCCAGGTTAGTAAATCATAGAGAGAGAGAGGCCAGAGATATATAAGGCTGCATAATGCTAGGAAGTTACGTTCCTAGTTAGTTGGCTGAGAAGAACTTGTTATTAAATTTCTGATTCCTCAGACTAAGAGATATGGTGGCATTCTTGGACATGTTTGCTTATGTATAACACGGCTGTTCAATTTCGGACATTGATTGATACATTAGTAACCTTAAGTTTTGACACTTTAATTGCAAATCTTCAAGATTTCAATCCTCTTTCTACAGCAGCCAAAAGACACTCTCACCGTTGTGCTTCAAGATACAATATTTGCAGTTAACGTGTCCAACAACAAAAATTTTAATGGCGCTATTGAACTATATATATGAATTTTGCGTGAGAAAAAAAAAAGAAAAAAATGTGCTCGTGTGCGTGCTACCATTTACAATGTAAATTTAGTTTCAGCTTCTCGAAGGCGAGGTTGTTAATAGACAAACAAAAGCAACAACAAAGGACAACGTCATGCTACCTCGATAATGGTTCAATTAAATCACAGTCCACGCGATTCTGGCTTATCAAATTACTTCTCTTGCATTGTTAATAAGTTGATAAGCATTTTAACTGACTCGCCAATTCGGTTAATATTCAATTCAATCCATCATAGATTTCTACCTTTCAATTTTGAACTTAGTCACTTCAGTGTTTCAAACATTCTATATCTCATCAAAATGCATTAATCCTTCTGTTAGATTTTCACCAATCCTTTGACACTATTTCTGTTTATTATCGTTGTCTCTTAATTTCATCTCCTCGATGTGCCTCAGAGCTCCAGGAACAAGGCATTCGAATTTAATCAAGATGATTGGAAAGATGGAAAGAACAAGGAGCAATGAACATTGACAGGGAGGCGAGGCATCTAATTGAACCACTCGACAGAAGTTAATGCAAGGGAAGATTCATTTAAACAATGTGATCACCTTGAACGCCGCTTTTATCGAGAAAATTACTGAGTTGAAACGTGCTGTTACTCGACGCCAGATATTGTGTAAACCTCTGCAACAGAGAAAGGTCATTGCACTCTTAGTTCAGATCCTCCAGGAATCACCTTTCCTCTACACTTTCAGTTATTACCTTACATAAATTTAACAATAATAAATTAAATTCTGTAAAATAGTAAATTAAATCCTGTCCAATCAATTTCACTTTGTCTCTATAATAATTTCCAAAAGGTAAACGTTTGAATTGTCAAAAAAAAATATCTTCCGCTGAGAGATCTTTATCGAGCAACGTTCGTCATATTCCAAGAAAAAAAAAGAAAAAAAAGAAAATCCGTTACTCGAATTACTGGCATTATTGTCGCCGTTATGGCACTGTCCAAGGGACTATGACTATGTTACAGTTGCTGTTCTCTATTGAATTGCATGTGCAAACCGTAAATGTTAGACTCTGGTCACGGACTCGTGCTATTCGATCCCGTGTTGTACACACATTCACGCACAGGCGACTGGCAAGGGCGACGACACTTCCCCTCAACTCATTATGCGCCAAAATGAGTTGGACAACCTCACGATGTAAATAATACACCGAACGTTCTCTCTCTGCTTCGTACTGTGGCCTGCTACCTCTCCTCGCGATTTTGTAAATATTTCTCTACTGACGAATCTGCGCAACTTGTAAAAGGTAAACCTTAACCCTTTGCGGTCCGAATTAATTTTTGCCCTTTATCAATTCATTGTGTACCTAAGAACTTTCCTAAGCCTCAGTTTTAATAAAGTTGCAAGCAGGAT